CGAGGGTACCGAGTGCCCCGGGGCGTCTGCAGGGGCAGACCCGGAGCGTTCCGGGAAAGATCAGCGTTTTCCGTGCTCGCGTGCTCGCTCTGGGGCATCGCCGGCCGCCGGGGGAAGCTTTCCCGCAAACGCCTCGGCCTCGTGGAGCGAAGGCGAGAAGCAGAACCGCCTAACGCGCCCTCATGGCTTCATTCCCTGCAGATAAGGCCACGAGCCAGCTTCTGCTGGAAACGGACTGGGAATCCATCCTGCAGATCTGCGACCTGATCCGTCAGGGAGATACCCAGTAAGTGCTCTCTGGCTTTTGGCCGCAGCGCTCCTTGTCTTGGTAAAGCGCAGCGTGAGGGTGGCGGAGCCGTCCGCCCGCAGTGGCACGCGCCTCGCTGTCCCCTCTCCGAAAGGCGCTGGAAGGGCGGCACAGCACGCCCCGGCGTGTTGGGGTGCTACTCTGACCTCAGGAGCTGCAGGTTACCTCTCACCAGGAATCCTCAGAGAAGGTCAAGCTGTAGTGTGTTAACTCCTCCCTTCTCGATCTGCCTCGGGGAAATCGCCCAGTCCAAGAGCTACCTGTGCCCTGCGGTTAGGGTGGGAGTTGGTGGGTGATCAGCAGCAGGTGGCATCTCCCCTCAGATTCCTGTTACCTGAGGATGTGTCCTCTCTCTCCTCACCCAGAGCGAAATACGCCGTCAATGCTATCAAGAAGAAGGTCAATGACAAGAATCCCCACGTGGCACTCTACGCGCTAGAGGTATCGTCAGCCCGAACGCGAGCGAGCAGGGGCCTGGCCCGCAGGCCGGGGAGCTCCCCTCTCTCACACACCTGCCTCCCGGGCTGCACAGCGTTCCCCGCTCTGCCCGCAGAGACGCAGAGTCGAGGCTTGGAGTTTGCCTTCTCCTGGCTCCAGCACAGGCGTTTTGTGACTGATGACGGGCCGTGGTTTTCATTCTTTGATTCCATCTCAGAGTTAGAACAGACAGGGCTGGAACTGGAGACACTGTCCCTGGAGGTCTGTCTCCACGTAGCAGAGGTACACCGGCCACTGTGCAGCCGAGCCGTAGCGACTCCCCAGTGTGGGGGTGCGGGTATCTCGGGTTTGAGCAACGCTGCCCTGACGCAGCCCGGTGCCCGTGTCTCGGTGTGCTGGCTGCAGTGACCTGTGACGCGCTGGGACTCATCCCAAGCCACAGAGCAGGAGGAGAGCAGCAGGTTCACGTTGTCCTTTGCCCTTTGCAGGTCATGGAGTCGGTGGTTAAAAACTGTGGCCAAACGGTCCATGACGAGGTGGCCAATAAACAGACTATGGAGGAACTCAAGGAAATACTCAAGGTAAATGTGCCTGATTTTACTTTTGGTTCTGAACAAGCTTGTAAGAGAAGCAGCAGAAGGAGAAAGTGTGCGCGTCCTCTCTTTACTCCCTCGGAGTGAGGAGCAGAAGGGATGCTGTGTGGAAACGCATTTCAGAAAAGCACCAACTGTGTTGCATGGTGAAGGGATGAGCGTAGGGAGCTGAGGAGTCCCTGCTAGGGAGGGAGGATGTCATCAGAGCAAAGGAAATGTTTGGCTGCTTCGTGAAGTGAGGCAGGAATACGCTGCCAAGGCCTGGACCGTTCCATGGTAAAAGCTCCTGGGTGCAATGCTTTGCTTGGCTTGAGACAGCGGAGGAAAACAGAGGTGTGATGGTCTGGCAGCTGCACCAAGGATCTGGGCAGCTGTGGGGTGAATTCCCTTCCCGTAGCACGGCATGAGGCACAGGAAGGTGAGCAGCAAGGTGAGAACGGGCAGAAGCTTCCTCTTTATGGTGGTCATTTCATTGGCCCGTGGAATTGTTTGGGGAGCTTTGCAGGATGCAGGACTACAGTCCTGGCTGTTTTCGCTGACTAGCCGTTGTCACAAGCTGTCACTTGCCACTTTGTTATAACGCGATGCCTGCAGGCACTCCTTGTGTCCTCAGACCAGAGACTTCCCCAAGTGAGGTGGAAATGGGAACGTCTGTCTCCAGCTCCAAAACTGCAATGCCCGGAAAAGAGCTTGTTAGGGCGGTGCTCTTCCTCCCTTATAGCTTCCGTCTTCTGCCAGAAAGAGACGACCGATGACCCAGATATTTGATAACTGAGCTGTGCAGGTCCTGTCGCCTCGCACGCCCTAGCAGGGTGTCTCTCTCCTGTCAGCTTCCTGCGAGGGCTGGCTCAGTCTCCGTGCAGGATCTCCTGCTGAGGTAGGAACAATGTGACGGCCAGGCGTAGCAGCGCAGCCGCTCTGAGATTCCAAATCAGGAGATGTTGTGGCGCTCTGCAGTCCTCGTCTGCCTCGTTAGTGTCGCAACTGCTGCAGACCCGTTCTGCTCCTACGCTTGAAGCTCTGCTGCTCATGAATGCCCAGTGCTGGCAAAATGGCCTCAGTTCTGATGAGGCTCAGGGCTGTGACACTTGTGGAATGCAAGATTTTGCCAAATCTTGTAGAAGTTTGGAGCTCCAGGAGTTGTCAGTAAGCCGCGCTGCGTGGGCTGAGCTCTCGGCTGAAAAAGGAGCTTGGCGATGCTCCTCTGCTTCCAGGGGAATTTTTCTGGAGCAGCCGGTCATGTGAACACACGGTGGCTGGGTCAGGTGATGACAGGGCTGCTCTCAAGCTGGCTGGGAGAGGAACAGGCTTGCCAAGTTTCCTCCAGCTCCTCAAGCTGTGAGACAACCACCCCTGCCTCCGGAGGGCAGGCTTCCCAGCTGTCCTTACTGCGTCACATCCGCAGAACCCCTGGGTGTTCCTGGTGGGACTCTCGGCTGGAGGAGCTGGCAGCAACAGCCTCCAGGCACCCTCAGCGGTGAGCTTTTGGTGCCCCGGCAGCGCTTGGGTGAGGCAGGCTGTGCTGTCCTGCAGCTGGGGGTGTGGGGGTGATGTGCAGCTGCCATGAGGAGGCGAACGGGGCAAACGGGGGTGCGGGGCAGGTCGGTGCTCGTGCCAGCCCCGGGGAGCGACTGTGAGTCTCTGGGCGTTTCCTCCACATATCATAACCACGCGCCTCTGCAGGCTGGTCCGTGCTGCTCCGAAGGACATTTCCTTGCTCCTGCAGGAGCGGGAAGTGGGGAAGCTGAAGGAGCACGTAGTCCTTGCTGTGAATTGCCTTTATTGCAGCTTTCTGGCAGGTCTTACCTTGCACAAGTGCTCTGAAGTCTTTCTTTCCGTGAATGTTATTTCTGGCTTCTCTTCTGGGGATTCACACCATTCTCTGGGTTTCAGGGTCTTTTTCTCAGATTTTTTTTTTCCCCTCCCTTTCTGTGCAGAGGCAAGTGGAGACAAGTGTCCGCAGCAAGATCCTGTACCTTATCCAGGCCTGGGCTCACGCCTTCCGCAATGAGCCCAAGTACAAGGTGGTGCAGGACACCTATCAGATCATGAAGGTTGAAGGTGAGGACTCTGCGGGTGGTCAGTCGGCCAAACAGCTCTGCTCTGGAGGAGCCCTGCAGGAGAAGGAATGGGTTTCAGGACTTGCAATACTGAGCTTTTTCTTGGTGCCCTGTACCCGATGAACCTCTTGGAATGACTGAATCCCGCCGCAGAGAGAGGGCAGGACCAGGGGCTGCCTTGCTCTGGGCCTCCAGCCCAGCCAGCGGCTCAGGGTTGGCAGTGGCGCCTGAAGAGCAGGAGCTGCAAATGGCAGCATGTCCTCTGGGGAGGGATTTACAGTGGGATTTACAGCCTTCCTCCCAGGCTTGCGTTAGTACCTCCAGGCTCACGCATCCTGACAGAGTGTCAGTATGGCGCCTTCTCTGCTGTCCCAGGAACGGCAGCGTTCCCCATGGGGGAAGGGACACGCTGCTGTCTCTGTGCCTCAGAGCCTCCCCGGGCAGTGCAGAGCCCGCAGGTCCCGGTCCCCTGTCGAGCCGGCGTTGCCACACTTGCCATTCAAGGGGTGAAACTCAAAACTCTGCCGGCGTTTTTTGTCCCTGCCAAGTTCAAGGTCTTGAGAAATAAGACATATCCAAAGGGCCCTGGTGTCCCTTACTGGTGTGTAAGGGCAACCAGTAGGGCATTGTCCTGTGTGTTCGAGAGCGTGGCTGAGGGCCCCGTTCTTGGCAGACCGCAGCGCGTGCTGTGTGCCCTCTGGCCTTCCGCAGGAGGAGGCTCCCTGGCAGTTGTGTCGGAGTCAGGCAGTGGCCAGGGCAGGCGTGCTGAGCTGCATCTGAGGTGTGTGGCTGGCACCCACGGCACACGTCCGTAGGCACCGCGGCCTCCCTGTGCAGAGGAGCCCTTTCACAACCAGGCGCTGTCGTTCCTCCCACAGGTCACGTCTTCCCGGAGTTCAAGGAGAGCGACGCCATGTTCGCTGCAGAAAGGGTGAGCTCTGCTGGTGGGGAGGGAGCTGGCTCTGCAGGACAGACCTTGCTCTCCTGTCCCCTTCCTACTGAACCTTCAGTTCTCACATTCCTCCCTGCCATGCGGGTTAGAGGCCTTGCTGGGTGTATACCACTCCCGGCTGTCACGGGGTCAGTTCTGGGGTGGGGTACAGCAATTTAGCCTAAAACCACCAGGGAGAGGGGAGGGTGGACCAGGACAGGGAGTTAGTCTCCTCTTACCCTACTCGGTGGCCTTCCAGCAGCATGGCAGTCTGGACATGGCAGCAGGGCATTGCTAAAGCGATTGCTGTGCATACTCGTTCCTAGAAAATCTTGCTGACTTGGAAAGCATCACAGTATCTAGGAACATGAGAGGAGGTAACCTGTGGGGATTAATGTTTCCTGTTGAGCTGCAAATGCTTCCAGTCTCCCTGATTCATGAGAGCACCTTGCTTAGCCGCGGGAGCTCCTGCAGGGCTCTGTGGAGACACCTCCTCCCCTCCTTACACCAGTTTCCTAACCCTGACAGGCTCCAGACTGGGTGGATGCTGAGGAGTGTCACAGGTGTCGAGTGCAGTTTGGTGTTGTGACACGGAAGGTGGGTGCCACTCCTGCCCCTCTGGGTTCCCTGGTCCTGCACAGCCCCCCGGGACGCGCAGGGCTGCCCGAGCCTGCCTGGAGGTGTGTGGGGCTGGAGCGCCTTCCCTGGCCGCTGGCAGGGAAGTGCCCCCAGTGTCTGAGTGATGTCGGCTAATGGTGAAGGAGTGTCTCGCTGCCACGCTGATGTCTCCCATCCTTTGCAGCATCACTGCAGGGCCTGTGGGCAGATCTTCTGTGGCAAATGCTCCTCCAAGTATTCCACCATCCCCAAGTTCGGGATCGAGAAGGAAGTGAGAGTCTGTGAGCCCTGTTACGAGCATCTCAACAAGTCAGTATCCTTTGTGGTGTGTTTCTTTGCCTGCAACAGCTGGGATGGTGAGGGGAGAAGCTTGGTGTAGAGCTGCTTTCTGCAGGCCAGAGTGGGGGTGTCCCAAGCTGTGCAGGCTGGGCTGGGTTCCCTTCCTTCCTGGGAACAGGGTTTACAGCTGTAGTGGTGTGTGGAGCTGGGCTCCAGTGCGGAGGAAGGAGCATTCAGTCTGCGCTGTCGTCTTTCTGACTACAGGAAAGCTGAGGGTAAAGCTGCTGCCACCTCCGAACTGCCCCCCGAGTACCTGACCAGCCCCCTCTCCCAGCAGTCCCAGGTGAGTGGCCATGCTGGTCGTGATCTGGTGATCTGACCTGTTTGTTGATCCCTTTGCTGACCACCTCCTCATCTCTACACTTGCAGCTGCCTCCGAAGCGTGACGAGACAGCTCTGCAGGAGGAGGAGGAACTCCAGCTAGCTATTGCCTTGTCCCAGTCAGAGGCCGAGGAGAAGGAGAGAATGGTTTGTGTCCAGCTTGGTGTCAGGGAGTGGTTGTTGCCATACAGCCCAGACGTGCTGGGCATCCCCTTGCTGTGGGGTAACAGATCTCTAGGCATGAGCCGCAGGGCCTGTGGAACGAGGGTGAAAGCGGAGCCAGGCACGTGCTGTGTTGCAGTCCCAAATCTTGGAAGCAGGCTGTGCCCAAGCTGCAAGCCGTGGGACAGCTGGCCTGTGGGAACTGTGCAAAGCATGAGGCTGGGTCTGGCCATCACTAGGAACCTCACCCACCCAGTGTGCCCAGTCTGTTGCTGGCTGGGTGATTTGAAGGAGTCTGGACAGTGCCTGAGTTCACTGTTTTTCCTCTTTTGCAGAGGCAGAAAACAACCTACTCCATGTACCCGAAGGCTGAGCCCACAGCTGTCACGTCATCAGCCCCCCCGGTCAGCACGCTCTATTCCCCGCCCGTGGTACGTTCATGGCAACCCCGGAACGTGAAGTGGCTGGACAGGGCCCCAGCCTGCCCTGCCTGGGTCAGATTTAATCCCTGTTCTGGGAGAACGGGTTTGCCTGTTCAGCCTCGTGCTCTTTCACAGCGCTACTGTGTGTTCAGCAAGAAGGTCTGAACTCAGGCAGCATTTAGGTGCCTCTGCTGCTTCCAGCAGCTGCAGCGTGCGCTGGGCTGGAGGAGATGGCTGTCCCCTTTCAGGCTCTTGCTGATGCTTGTGCATGGCCAGGGCCCAGCACGACATTTGTGTGGGAGCTGGGGTTCTCTGGGCTCTCTGAACTGGATTTCCCTGTCTGTCTCTTTGCAGAATTCCTCTGCTCCCTTGGCTGAGGACATTGACCCAGAGGTAAGGATCCAGGCCTTGCCCAGTCCATGGCACAGGCTCACTCCCAGCAGGGCTGTGATCCTCATCTCCCCTCTCTTTCTGGCAGCTGGCTCGGTACCTGAACCGCAACTACTGGGAGAAGAAACAAGAGGAAGTTCGCAAGAGCCCCACGCCATCCGCGCCTCTGTCCCTCACAGAGCCAGCCGCTCAGCCTGGGGAAGCCCACCCCGCCCCACTGGGCGTCGTTGAGGTAAGGGGGGGCCTGGACCTGTGCCTGGCAGGTTGCGAGGGGCGAGGAGTGCCTGACTTCTTCCTGCAGCCCGGTCATGCAGCGCTGCTGGCTCTTGGCCCGGGAGAGTCGAGGCTGACTGGCTGCCCTGTCCTTCCAGCAGCAGTACCAGAACGGCGAGTCCGAGGAGAACCACGAGCAGTTCCTGAAGGCACTGCAGAACGCGGTCACCACGTTTGTCAACCGCATGAAGAGCAACCACATGCGGGGCCGCAGCATCACCAATGACTCTGCCGTATTGTCCCTCTTCCAGTCCATCAACAACATGCACCCCCAGCTGCTGGAGCTGCTCAACCAGCTGGACGAGCGCAGGCGTACGTGGGAGCTGCCCGGCCGGGCACATGGGAGGGTGTTCCGGGGAGGAGCGGGTGGCT